ATTACAATAGATAATATTTTACAGTATCACTATTTTTACTGTATTTTTAATCTAATAAATGCAGACTTGGTGAGCATATATTCTATGACTGCTCCAGAATATTCTGGGAATTCCTGATATTTCCAGGTTTTCCAGGACAATGGAAGCCCTAGTATTGGGAATGTAGACAGGGCAGTTTCTTACCCCATGAAGATTCAGCTTCTTTGGATCTCCTTTTAAAATGACCTGCATTGCCCATATGCTAACAGTTAGTACAATTAGCCTTGATTAAAATTATACTTCAAAAAAATGATAAAAATGTAAGAGAAGACCTCTTTAATGCATATCTGCTCACTCTCTCTTACCTCTCTGTATCCAAAGCGTTCACTTTGGGCTTGATGTCTCAATTTACTATTGATGACAAAAGAAAATATAAAGCATACAGTTACTGAAAAATGATGAGAAATGCTCAACAGTTTATACAATTCACTCAATTTTCAGCATTGTTACAAGTTGAGTCACAAATCAAAATGATCCCTCTAGCATACAATACACTTACTTTTTGCTCCTTGTACTGTAAATAAACACGAATAGTGACAATTGGCTTTCATTATACATTTCACTTCCTCCTCCTAATAGGACTGACTTAATGTTAATGATGTCTGTAATGGACTGATGTGAGCGGTGGTCTCTCTCTATGTTAGGAGAGGGATTCAGGATAAAATCAAACTTAGTGAGGCTGAATCTGTAACATGGACACAACAAAATGAATCATGTAGGCGTGAGTCATTTTCAGAGCTGGGATTGAAACCCTGAGTGAAATTTTACTGGTGAATCACTGATTTGCACGGCTGTGTGTGCTGCTCACGACACACTTGTTCACACACCGCTCTTCAAGAGCTTTCATTTGCATTTGACATGATTTACATGCTGTCCAATAGTCAAGAGCTAAGAGAGAAATCTCAAATAACTATATAGAAGTCTTCTATCTGCGCTTTGCAATTTATATACTGTACTTCATTTCGCGATTGTTTACAACAAAAGACATAGATCAAAGACAGGAAAAAGAGAAAAGAAAAGAAAAGAAAGCAGGATATATGAGGAAAGTTAAGAAACAGATAGAAAAGAAATAGACAAGGAGAAAGAAAAGAAAAGAAAAGAAAAGAAGGTTGGATAGATTAGGAAAGAAAGAAAGAAAGAAAAAAAGAAAGAAAGAAAGAAAGAGAAAAGAAAAGTATAGATAAGGAAAGAAAAGAAAAAGACAGGGAAGAAAGAAAGAAAGAAAAGAAAAGAAAAATGTGCGATATTTGGGATAGATAGGGAAATAAAAGAAAGGAAAAGAAAAGAAAATACAAAAGACAAATATGTTATAAAAAAAGAAAGGAAAGGAAAATAAAAGAAACAAGTACAGATAAGAAAAGAAAAGAAAAAGAAAGAAAAGAAAAATAAATAAGTATAAAAGGAAAGGAAAAGAAAAGAAAAGAAAAAAGTACAGATAAGAAAAGAAAAGAAAAAGAAATAAGTGTAAAAGGAAAGGAAAAGAAAAGAAAAAAGTATAGATAAGAAAAGAAAAGAAAAAGACAGGAAAGAAAGAAAGAAAGAAAGAAAGAGAAAAGAAAAAAGTATAGATAAGGAAAGAAAAGAAAAAGACAGGGATGAAAGAAAGAAAGAAAGAAAGAAAGAAAGAAAGAAAGAAGAGAAAAGGGTGGGATATTTGAGGTGGTTTGTACTGGCCTGTAATACAATAGTTCCATTAATAACAGTGTTGGTGACATGAAGCGTCCTGCTGACGTCTGCGTGTGTGCCATCAACAACACAGCAATTTCATGTTGACTTTCACCGCCGGCCCGTCTACAGCTAATCAATGATCACATACGATACATATGCTCGTGTGCAGGACAACACCTGTGTGTCATGTGTGTGCGTGAGATCAGACTCACCTTATAAAATAGCAGCAGAATATGAGGCTGAGTACGAAGACGAAGATGCCTGTGCCGAAGATCACCATATAGATATTGAGCGGAAGGTCCTGGAAGGTGACGGATGCCATAGTGCAGGTCTTATTGGAGTAGATCAGTCCCAAACCGCAGAAGCACCCTATACAGGCAGTGAAATCTCATCAGTAACACATACAACATGAAAACAACCCATCATTCAAACAGAACCAATCAGAGCACAAATATAGCTCTCCTCTCCTCTGATGACAGGTTTGATGACTAATCTAACAGTGTTTCAGACTTGAGTCCACCTTTCACTGCGTATAAACAGGAAACATTAAGGGCTTTCACTCAGTCGTATGTCTAGATTCTCTGTAAGAGGAAACGCAGGTGTGTGAACTGACTGCTAACAATCATTACATCATTAGAATTTGGTTCCAGAATCGTGAACAATTCACTCAGCAGAATCCAGTGACCCTTTGGACAATCCCTTGTGTTTACCCTTACAAAAAAGAAGTTTATTCAAGTGTGCTATTAGTATACTTCTTTTAAACTAAAAAATAGGAAAGTATACTTTCAGTCTACTTTTCATGTACTTCTCAGAAATATACTTAAAATGACATTTAAGTATACTTGACTTATACTTAGAAAAAGTCTAAATATATTTGAGCTATACTTGTGTTCCTAGAATCTGTGTTTTCATTGTTATACTGTAGGGCGCGCTAATACACATCTTCTGTACAGAATTTCCAAAAAACACAAGTGAAGAAGAAACCGAAACAACAGACGCTTCCACGTGTAATCAAACACGATCATCAGACATAAAACAGCATCAAAACTGTGTAACGTTATGGAATAAAATGTCGACCAATGAAGAGGTAATAATAACTGTCAAGCTTTGGGGTGTTGATCGACTCTATCTACGTTTTGATTATC